ATGTGGGGTCTTTGCCTTGAAAATGACCTTACGGTACATGATACCGTAAGGTCATTTTCAAGGCAAAGACCCCATGTTATGAGAATCAAAAAATTAACTTCATATGGCCTAAATTAAAATTTTATATAATTATATTCATCAAATCCAGTCAAAAAGAGATGAATAACAGCCCAAATATAAAAGGTAAAAATAGCAGGACTAATATATGTGCACATTGATTCATGTCTATTTGGTGATTTTTCCTAAAATTTAAAAAAAAAATTTTTAAAGATATTATAACATAGAAATGCTCGTTTTTTTTTCGCAAACGTTAATTACAAACTACCTCTTTAACCAAATAATGTTTACGGTAAGAAGCAATAGGTATGCCAATATATTCGAAGCTTTTATTAATGTTTCAGGTTTAACCATCTTATATAATTATTTACAATTAATTTTTACCAAGTTGATTTAAAAATGGTAATGATATGGTGAAAATTACTACTACAAAGATGAAGGTAGAAAGGCTTTTCCATCGTAGTGGCTATATCGTGGATTGTATTTAGTGGCTGTGATTTATCTGTTATATAGATTAGTACACACGTAAGTAAATATTTTGAAAGAATGAAGACATTAACAGTTAAATTGTTCGTAAACACGATGTGGCTTATGGATATTGTTAGTTGCTTTAACCTTTTACTTGGCTTAGAATTTAGCATGCACGCGAACGTACGTAAATACGTATTTATATATCAGATATCATATATTAATCTTTATCAAAATATTTAAAACAAGCATATTAATTGTCGCGGATGGTCGTGAAATCGGATGATGGTGAAATATGGGGTCTCCTTTTGAAAATATAGACCCTACTGAAATCTACTTATACTCTTTTCTAAGCAACTCTAATCCTAAATTATAACCTATCACTAAAAAAAAAGCTGGATAATACACCCTAAAAAATTCTAAAATTTCATATTAAATTAGGTCGAAATTTCCGATTTCATGATCATCCGTGACATTAATTAATAACAATTATGTTTTATAAAATTAATGTTTATTTTTATTTTATTATATCTTAGTTTATATTTATTTTATTTTATTTTTTAATTTTTTTTTATTATTTATTTATTTATCTATTTATTTTGATAAAAAAGATACTTATGATCTCAAAAGAAAAAAAAAAAAAAAAAACAAAAAAAAGCGATCTTTACAAAATCGCCGTGTGACATTTCTTTAATGAGTATGTAAAGATTACGCTCATACTTACGCGTACGTACGCACGTACCAGGTACATACGTACATACGTGCGTAAGCACATCAGTAGCGTACACAACTTTTATTCATTGTCACTCAGATTATACTCTATGCAAGAACGTTGCGCATTCAAAGGTCATCCATTAGTAAAACTTATTTTGTACTACGTATGTATTAAAGGTTAATAAACACCGGAGAAACGATCACTTTTATACAGTATATGTTGTGTTACGTTATTCATTAAAGATACATTTTGTGTTATAATTTAATTTACAAATGTAAACCGACATTTTTATTGTATATTATTAGTTAGAATTTTAATAAATTAATGTCTAACAACATGGTTTATATAATAATTCTAGTAAAATAACACTAATTAATAAATATTAAAAAGTAACTTTATCTACATTCCGAAAGCCGAAAATGCACAAACAAATCCCACTACAATGGCTAAGAATTTTCCATTGCTTTTTTGGAATTTACTGTCAGTTCCTGAGATCTTCTTTGGAGTAGCAGAAGGAGTAGCAGGAGATTGAGATTGAGGTTGTTCAGGTGTATCAGTAGGCGCAGAAGATAGATCACCATCTGAAGGACTCGCTACTGCAGGTTGTGCTTGTGATGAATCTGGTGAATTTGCAGGAGGAAGTTGCGGAGTTGGCGTAACTAAAACTGGTTGCGCTGTTGTTGACGCAATTGCAGGAGCTGGAGTTGCTGGAGTAGTCGAGGATTCTTTGAATTATTATGAGTATTTGTTTTAAATAATTATGAGTATTTGATTTTAATTAAATGTAGTATCAAAATTGTTTTTTTTTTTTTTGTTTTTTTTTGAAAAATAACATACTAGTAAAGGTCCAAGGAGTTCCTGGAGTATAATTCGCAGGTGGGCTACTATTACTAGGTTCAAGCACCGTAAACCTCGTACTCCAACTAACACCAACAGTAGGGTTCGCAGGATCGGAAAACATTAAAAAATAAATTTTTCCTGGAGGATAACCCAATGTACTAGGCGATGGAACAATAAAAGATAAAGATGTTGCGGTGTTATCCAACTTATCGGCAAGGGTAACTAATGGAATTTGTGGACTGTCTGGACCTGTCATGAATTGGACTTTTATTCCTGACATTGAGGAACTTTTGTTCGCACCAGAGTCTGTCCACATAGCTGTTACCTTTTGTTGTGAATAAAATTAAGGAAAAATTAGATAAATGCATCATTGTCCTCAATGGTGCGCGTTTTAAAGTAAAAATGAGTTCGCAACCATTTAATTCTCATTGATATTTGAGAGTAAAAGTAATAGTAAATACATTTTGACCAGCAGTCCACACAGTATCGCCTACAGGGATAGTTGGTGAAGGATAGGCGAGTGAATAGCCAGCTCCAACTATAAGTACTAACAAGCAACTTAGATATATCTTAAGGAACTTGTCCATTTTTAATAATAATAATAATAATAAGGAAAGAATTTAATCGGCAAATTTATTTATGCCGAAAGGAATGATATTGACTCTGTTTAGGAAAAAGAAGCTTTTATTTTTTTTCTAAAAAAAGTTATGCTAATTTCAGGCACAGCATCCTTTTATAAATTATCAGATTTACTTTTTTGTCTTGCGCTATGAAAAGTAATACAGAGATATCATGGTTTTGTTTATATTAAATATTTCCTTTTTAGGAAGTTTTTGGACACATTTTCTAAACTTCATGTAGGCTGTTTATAATTTTTAACACAATCGATTGATGATAATAATAGTAGATCCGGATAACAAGGCACAAGTATAGGGTTTTAATTTTTTTAATATAAACCGTACTACATAAGGAAATAACAGATCAGATTATGTATTACGTAACAAAAAAAAAAGAAAACCAGTCTGGTTTCATATAATTGTGTGACCCTTATGACTTATTTATAAAATAACTGTGATTGCGATTGCGATTGCCAATTTTATCATAATTCTGAGTTTGAGTTGACCCAAAACAAACTCAGAAATTATTATAATTTGGCCAGCTTTAGCAATCGCAATCACAATCATAATTATTTTATAAAAAAAATTAATTATCAATAAGGGTCCCACAATTTTGTAAAGCGCAATAAAATGATGTTAAGTGATTATAAAATCGGTTAAATTCGAATAGTTAATTTTTTCTTCCAAGTCTTTAATGCATAATGGACCCTTGGCAACCCATTTATCATATGGACACACGGAATCAAAACGTTTAGCCAATAAACATGATACAATTAATTCATTATCTAAATATGTAATCTTAATTTGCCGCTTGGATTAAAATAAGATGCCTATTAGCCTACTTGTATGTAAGAAGTAAATAACAAACAATTTTCAGGGTGCATAATACCCTTTTTTTTCTCCAAAATAATTATCCGTCAACTGCTATAACTGTCGGTTAAAGAGTTCATAATTGCTAAAACAATTTCTTTAAATGGAAGAAGACTCTAAATAGTTCTCATATATATATAAATTATAAATCGTATAGAAAGATGCGCTTTTTGGATTTGACCGACGCTCAGACTAAAATTCTGTATGCTATCATTAATTAACAGTGATGAAATATTTTTATAAAATGATTCTCACTAACAATCCCGTCTAACCCCGAAATTTTTAATAAATTTAATGTGGTGCGAAGAGAACATGTGTTCGAATTCGGATGATCCTATTCTTTTAAAGCATTTGT